TCTTAATCTTACAGACAATCTCGACATTACACTCTACACGAAAACGCGGCTCTACGAAAAAGCTGGCTTCACTTTCGACAACGTAACTGCAGTTCGTGTTGACTTGAATATGACACGCGTACGCACAAATTTTGAAAATATTTTCAATGGACACAGCAAGGAGGTGGAACGAAGCACTAATGAATTCTTCAATGAGAATTGGCGCGACTTTTACGAAGCACTCAAGCCGATTATCACCGAAACCGTAGAAACGATATTGTACGATGTGATGCACAAAGTTTTCAATTTAATACCGGCGAATTTCTTTGTCGAAGATATACCCACCTCGGAGCAATTGTATGGCACGAATAAATCATTAACCGTTGCTTAGAAATAGAAATGGAGTTACTGATGTGTATACATATGTATTTTGTTTGAAAATTAAACACCATCCAAATAAATTGTAAATAAAAAAAAAAATTATAAAAATTTTATTTCAATAATTTTTTAGCAACAAACACAACCGACTCCCATTCTCATATCAAAATTTGGGAGTTCCATTAATTTCTTCATAATCCAATAATCAGATCTAAGCCAAATTAGTATGGGACGACGCTTGAGGTGCCACTTTTCCGATAAAAAAGAATTATCGAAATCGGTTTACCTTGTCGAAAATTATGCGGTAACATAAATACATAGATTTTTCGAAAATTAAGTAGGAAGATAAGATTATTTTGTTTAGGTGATAAATTGGGGGAGTGGTCCCAGCACATATCTATTACCGGACTCGGATTCCTCTTGGCAGATCTGGCCACACGCTAAATCCATGGATAAAAATAAAATGTCATTTTCGCAATGTGAACACAACATACTTTAACTATCACGTCTGCCTGCACCATAATTACAATCCACTTCAAATCTGTATCACTGACCATGCTAACAAATGATTTTAATTTGTGGTTCACTCATGCTGCTTCTTGACATTGATATAATAATACTTCAAGTCTCGATTACGGTTGTGACTGCGCTTAGGGCTATATTTAAACCCGAGCGCACCTGTGCACAAGGGTATTATAGCTTTGTTCACAAAACGGTTGTTTGTTGTAACAGCCAAAATGAATCGAGGTGGATATAGACAAATGTACACATAAATGATCAGAATGGAAAAAGAAATCGATTAAGAGGTGACTGTCTGTCCGTCCGTCCATGTGTGCACACGAGAACTCGAGTAAAAATTCAGATATCTTAACGAAACTCGGTGCGTTTACTTCTTTTCAGTGTAGGACGGATATTATTGAAAATGAGCAATAACAACTTCTACCTCCCCTATAGCGGTAATTTAGAGAATGCGTTTATGATAAAATTTTGGAAAATGGGCGTTACACCGCCAACTTACTTATATTGATACTATCAGCAAATCACTTGAAAAGAAGCAACGTTATTATGGAATTGTGGAAAATGGGCGTGATACCGCCCACCTGTAACTATATAAGTTTATCTCATTATGTCTAACTGAAGAGAGATTTTTTTAATGTAAATTTTATTAGAAATGTTAAAATATAGCTATTTAAAATTTATAATAATTTACCTCACAAGTAATGAAAGACATTTACATTTCACATGATGAAATTAACGGTACTTCTAAACTTTTATATAAGAATTGAACTCGGTTTTGTCTTTTAAAAATAGCTGTCAAAACAGTTTTTTTGCTCTCCTGAAAAATTGAATTTTTGCAAATAGAGGGTATTGAATATACATAAGCCCTCGATATGCAAGTGTTCCTTTGTTAAGTATTAAGTGGTTTAGATTTGTTGACGTCAGTAATTAAAACCAATTATCCTCTAATACTTTTATAAGCACATTGTTACGTGGTAATTCGTAATTTACATAGAGTATTATTATTCATTTTATTTAATCAAGCATATCAATTTACGAGAGATTTGCATGAGCGAATTAAAAAGGGAAACTTAAACATATGTATTATCAGCAATATCTATCTCTAATTTGTGTTTTGAGGACTTCGAAGACAAACCGGTAAAATTAATACCTTTACGGCAAGTAAATCTCTACATTGCATGTTGACACAATTTTACATTTAAATTTGTAGCCTATTCTAAGCAAATTAATTTGTATATAAATGTTTTTTTTTTGCAAATAAGCACTTCGCAATGCTTTTAATGGAGACAAATATGTTGGAATGTTGTTGTTGACCAAGATGAGGTGAGATGAGGAAAGCCTATGGAATACCGACTTCGATGTTAGAATTGTCAAAGCCAAATCGAGATCAAACTAGTTGGGCTGTCGCAAATGTCGTCGATAGAAGCGGAGGTGTTGAAGGTGTTTAAAATAAAAAAATGAAGTTAATATAAAACCTTTCAACCAATTACAAATTTATGAGTTTAATTCATTTTATTTAATTATATATATTTTAATTTAATTCGTTTGCAATGAAATTGTTTCTTCACAACAACAACTGCAGCAAAGATTTCCGAAGGTAACAGTCGACGAGTTCATACACATTGACCAGGAATTTGGTGAAACAAAGGTCCCTGGTCCGAATTGTATATATACCCATATTAGAGTGGTTAATAAAAACAATCTTTTTGGAAATTCATAAACGCCACATCAGAATATTGTTATTTGCGATAAAAAAAGAGACACGTATTTTTTTATTTTGAAAAAAGTTTTCTTAGAGGTTGCGCTGGTCGGTTTTTTATAAAAACGCTGATGTTCTCAATTTTTTTATTTTCTTGACATGTTAAAATGCAGCTAAAAATGTGGTTTTTAACCGACTTCCAAAAAAGGAGGAGGTTATCAGTTCGTCGGAATATTTTTTTTTTTTTTTTTGTTTTTTTTATGTATGTTACCGCATAAGTTTGGACCACGTCAACCGATTTTTGAATTTTGAAAATCTGACATCAGATTCGTAATCAGCAACCCCAGAAACCGACTGGAAACGTGTTTTAACCCTTGACAATGTATAAAACGTTCAGTATCAACGTTTTAATTTTAGTACTTTTCTTTGTAATTTGATCGCCATATTGGATCTGCCATTTTGAAATCAAAAAAATTTACTTCAGATTCGTAATCGGCGACCACAAAAACTCTCGAGTGCCGGGCTTCGAACACATCCAATCATTTAAAAAAAAATGGACTTGCAACTTTTGTAGCCATAATTGCCCTGCCGGTTGCTTTCCCGTCGTGTAGCCATGCTCGGCGAAGTTCTCGTCCTGTTTTCACTGTGCCAGTGAAAAAAATTTATTTGCAAAAAATAAGTTTAAGAAATAACACAGTTTTATTTTTGAACGAGGTAATGTTTAAGCAACACACCCGACTTCGTTGTTCATATAAAAATTCAGGATTGCCATTAAATGCTTCATAATCTAATGTTCCGAACTGAGCTTAATTAAAATTGGACCACCCTTGAGGTATCACCTTTCCGACAACAAAAAAAAAGAATTTTCGAAACCCATTCACGTGGTCCCAAATTATTCGGTAACATGCATAAAAGCAAAAATATTTCCACGAATTGATAACCTCCTTTTTTTGAAGTCGGTTAAAAATCACTTTGACCGCTTTCTATTAGCCCGCCGTTCTACCTTGTCAAAAATTGTGACTGTTATTGTTGCAGCCTCACCAATATAACATATTTTTTTAAATAAAGATGCAGTGACAGATTACTTCCTTTCTTTATTAGCCTTTCTTTTTTCAGTAGCTTAACAAATAAAGCTCGCTCTACATAAATGAGTAATTGCTTTGCCGTATGAAGTTATTACGAATCCAGTTTTGCCGTAGTCATCTACAACATTATCAACAATCATTGTATATTACTAATTTAAATTACATATAATTAATTATTATAAAAATCGCCAATTAAAACAAGTTATCCAGGTTCCCGGCTGAAACATCAAAGCTCGCCTATGCGCAAAAATGTAAACTTAAAACCGTTAAATTTCAGTGGCATTCAACAATTTACATAATTAACCTTCTTAAAAGTTTCCGACATAAAATTTTTAGTGGCATCACGTTGCCTGCTTATATATACATGCATGTATGTATGTACATTAGACCGGACCTGAAAAAAGTTCGCCGAACACCTTCGAGTCCAAAGCATATTTGCAAGGCAAATTGAAAGAAATACATGTATATTTTTTGTCTCTAGGATTTCTAGAAGCAATTTTTTTGCCAAGCCCGTTTTAAATTGTTCGTTATATCTTCGGCATTTACGGTCGGATCTTCACCATGGAGAGTTACACTGATTTTCGCATTTTTTTGCGAACCTTTGTGAAAGCAATATGAACGTATTTTAATAAAATGTATGCAAAGATCATAAGACTTGTGATGTCCATTTACTTTTCTAAGTTCTAAATTTACAGTTTTAGGTCAAATCATGCGCGAAATTTGCGTTTCAAACAAGTAATGCGTGGTCGACTCCACGAAGTGTAACCATGCACAGTTAAAGAGTGATTTATCTAAGTTCTTTTCTCCAGAAAACATTTTTGTTTGATACAAACTTCTTATCCTTAACTAAAGCAACCTTGTACTTACTGACCATATCTCAGTTTTTATCACCCTAAGGTACCATCCTAATGTTAGTAAATTAAAGCACCACAAAACTATAACACTACTCGTATTGCATTACCCGAGCCTCCCTCAAGTGCAGCAGTAACTCAAATAAGTTAATTACGATTGATTTAACATTAGAAAATAACATAAAAATGAGAATAGAAATAAAAACTAAGTTTACTCAACTAGTTTACAACACAAAAAAAAAAAAACATAAATATTCTATGAGCACTACGTATCTATGTAAATATGTATATACATATTTACTGAGTAGGTAAGTCTGTATACACCTGCAAAATACTTGCTGTTAACCTTTGTGCGCTCACCACCCCCCCGCACAGCCGCGTCTAGCCAGCCGGCCGGCTAGTTGGTTGAACAGGTAGCTTGACAAGTATGCAAGTGACTAAGTGTAAAGTAGTAAGTACCTACGTAAAGTGCGAGTAATAGCACAGCAGTTAAGTTAATAAATTGTTATTATTGAGTTTATGTTTATAAAAGTGCCGCAGCATTTCGAGATTAACAACAGTCGCGTTCAACATCTCGCTGCTAAAGCGTTGTTAAATTTATTAAGAAAACTCACTGATTATTTTAGTTTATATTGTTTTTTTTTTTATTTTTTTTTTCATTGGTCGCAAGTTAAGCGGCAATAGCAATGCATAAAAGCGCCCTCTTACGCACATCGGCTGTGCTAAAAGGACTTTTACTGGTGTTCGCCTGTTTGAGTAGCGTTCGGAGTTTAGAGTATTACACAGAAAAACGTAAGAGTCAAAATGTGAAAAAACGGAAAAGAAGTATGCAAAATTTCGCAAATAAAAATGGGAAAATGGTTTTGGTTTTCGTCTTTAACAAAAACTTAGATTTGTCGATTAAAGCTCAAAGACCATTTTCCTTATTATGGAAGTGAACTGAAATACCTACTAATTTAACTGGTGAACTTCGGACGTATTACCATTGAATTCTTTTTTTACACAAACTCGAAAAACATCCAATTTTAAACAGGGTGATAACCAAAACTTCCAAGCCAATGCAAGCGATCGCCGCAAGTGTTTAACAGTGAAGACGTGATTTTTCTAAAAAAAAAAGAAAAAACACATTCCTTATTTACGAATAAAAATGTAGTAATGCAATTTTGAGTGGCAACATTCGAAAGTCAAAAAATGGCAAAAGTTCGAAAAACGAAAGTTAAATTTTTCAATTTTATAACCGATAACTTTGACCAGTGGCTAGCCAGAGCAAACACAGGCAAATGACCGGTCATTATACCATCGTCGCAGAAACCGTATTAACGTCGCGCAGTGCTTTGGCCCATAGGCAAATTTAAAATGAAGTAAAGTGCTTAGAATATGCAAGTTATATAGATTTTGGTAAAGCTAACATAGTACCTTTAAAATCTTTGGAAGTTCAATTTATCATCTCCTCTTTTTGATAACAGCAGAGCAGTAGCGTCGGTTGCTTAAAGCTTAATATGTATGTACATTTGTTAGTTTTACAGTATTAGTGAAAGCAAATTTTCGAAAGCCGTTTTCCTATATACTAGTTTTAACAGTTTAAGTTGATACTTATTTTTCCAGTTTTTTTTAAATAATATTTATATTTTTTTGAAATCTTTTTAAATATGTCAAAAACGTGTAGATAACTTTAATGAAAAATTAATTATGAACGAACAGCAAATTTCATTCATTTCATTTGTTATATAATTTGTTTTGATCGGTTAACGGATTCTCCAAATAGTAGAAATTTGTATGCTTTGACATTTTTTCTTTAACCATAAAAATTATGTTGCGAAATCTCGATAACAACACTACAGAAAAACTTGTATTTTCGGACTAAGTGACTGATTTTATATGGGAATTGGATGGTATCGTTCTTGAGCGCTTTCCTACAACCATGGCTTATATGTATATATGGATGTGTTGGTCATTTCATGTAGTTACATAATTTGAGGTTGTAACTCTTGGAAACAGGTTTATTTTTTTCTAATTTAAATACATAATAATCAACTTCGTTACATTTAAATCTAAATTTCTAAATATAAAATTTTTATTAGATAAATAAAATTCATTACAGATGTAATTACAATCTTTTTATACATACATATTTACGTATGTATGTATTTATATGAAAACTATCCTATAACAACGTACTTGATTAACATTTGATGACGCAGTTGAACAACTTGGCACGGAATTTATTTTACAAATTTAGAGACAGGTAGTAAAAAAGCTAATTATACACATACCTATATGTTTGTTTATAAACAAATACTTGTACTAACAAATACCAGTAGTAAAAGTAAACTCTACGGCAATTAAGTAAATATTTCAACAAGTATTTGAAGGCAGATTTATTTATTTAACGCCGTTACTCAATTTTGAATGGAAAAATGTGTTGTCTCAAAACTAACAGCAGAGCAGGGAGAATATTAAATGACCGGAAACCATGAAGATTGGCATATTTGCGTTTAAATAAAAACAAGACGATAAAATATGTATGTATGTATGTAAATATTTAGAGGAATCCGAATAACTACACACCTTTTGTGAACACCAATTATTCAGCTGTAGCACAAAAAAGGTGGAATAACTTATTGTAATAACAAAAAAAAAATTAAAATTAAAATTATGGTTAAATAATAAAAAATTTGGCCGGTTGAAATTGAATAGTTTTTCATCAAATTCAGTAGCTTTCGGTCAGCTGTCAGCGAAGTTGATAAAAGGTGGATCGACTACTTCGATCCCTTCGATATTTCTAAATACATAAGCCCAGGAACACAGCAGAGAGCGGCGTTGACGTGACTCACTGATTCAAGCGATGCGTATTATTACCACGGATCCCAACGCTCGCTTTCAATGTTGATTGGCTGTCAATGAATTAATCGGCGTTCCCTGACCGAGCCTTACTATTTTTTTTTTAAGACTAACAGATTTTTCTAGGCAAATATCTATACGTGAAAGTGAGAGTGCAGTCATCAGGTAGGCGATATGATTGCCAAAGCTGGAGGTCCTTTGAATATGTAATAGCCCGCACCAATACCTTTCTCAATCTTTCAGCCATCGGTGTACATGGAAATACTGCGAGTTTTTGCTAATCAGTCAGATGATTGTGGTGTATATGCCATAATTACGTGCAGTGACAACCCTTGTTTTTTCCAAAGATCCTTTTGCGTATACATTACGCGATGAAATGTCCAGCTTAGTCCCTTTGTTTTCCTTGTGAAAAAGACAAGCTCGCTTTTTGAAGGTTTATATCTGCTTTGATAACTCTACCCTCCCTCATATAAGAATAAATCTACTATATTCTAAAGTGTCAAGTGTAGGATAAACGATGAATAGCTTATTGGCCTAATACACTTACACTACACGGTAAGGGATTAGTTTCCCCGCCTTAGGAATAGATATGTTAGTATCATTCTAGCTTTCCTCCAAGCTTTATGCTCGTTATATGAGATAGCATATTTTCACAAGAATGTTGTAAGATGGCCGGCACCACACCATCCGGTCCTGCGGATTTGAATGGATGCAACGATTTGATCGCCCACATCCATGATCGCCCCTCTATCCACTGTTGTAGCTTTAATGCACCTTTCCGATACGTGAGCTAACATTGATTTCTTAAAATTATCAATTATATCCGCGCAGCCTGAGATGTCCTGACTAGAGTCCGTTCAACAGCCATTTTTTCTCCTAGCCTTCCTGTGGCGTAATCGCTTTTAGAAAATAACTTACGGAACTTAATATATGATTTTTTTGACTGCGTAGATTTACCTAGAATTTCCATAAATATTTCTTTGTAGTCCTTGTGTCAATTTTATAGAGTTCAAACTTTCCCAATAGTTTTCTCAGTCCTCCTTGATATCTCTCATAGGATATTATTTGGGGCTTCGTGTTACCAATAAGATGCTGATGTTTCCCAGTAATATTGATTTTATTTCTACTTTTTTTCTTATAACATTCACAGCGGATTTCATGCAAACATGCCGCATAAACGAGCCGGAATTCGTCAAATGCTCAACATCCAGTATTCAAAAGTTAATGGATCAACTGGGAAAAGGTATTTATTTTATTGTACAAAATATTCGGCCCAATTATGGTTATCGACGTCGATGGCATTTTTTCATAAAAAAATATCCCTCCTAAGTCCAACCCCAGCTACTGTGATCAGACAGCATTTTTGCGGAAATGTGTTCTTCACATAAATACTGTGCTCAGCGTAGCTGGAGTTGAGCTTACGAGGGCTATTTCTCGTAGAAAAAAAATTACATCGACCTATTTATGTTCCAACATTCTAATTTTCAAGGTATACCTGAGATCATGGAAGTGATTGGTACATTTGATCCGTTAAAACTTAAACCGATACAATTCGCACAAGATAATCAAGGAGCAGTAACGTTACACGCCAATTTAACGGAAATGGTGGCAACTGGACTGTCGAAACTAGTTATTAAGGAGAGCAAGTGAGTTAAAAAGGCATTGAAATAGTTAACAAAAAAAGTCCGTTATACAATACTAAAAACTATGTATGTATATAATCAACATTCTTAACATAATATAGAGTGAGCAAAAAGGACTACAGCTGGGAAACGAAAATTTACATACCAAAGCTACGTTTGGAGGGTCAATATAAAATGGCTGGCAGAATACTGTTAATACCGTTGAACGGTGCTGGACATATGTTTATCGAAATAGGTAGGTATCAATCAAAGATCTACATCAGGGTGGCCCCTAAAATATCAACATTATGCGGCACCGCTTTATTTTGTTCTAAGCACAAAATACATAAGTCGGTTCAAGAAAATTTCAAAGTTTTACAGTTGATTTCCACCAAGCCTTAACTGCAGTTTATGTCAATTGGAAAAAGAGAGATTACAACTTGAGGGGGGTAATTGCACCTATTGAGTAGAAGCAAACGAAAGGAAAAAAGCAAAAACTAAGAATTAAACCTTGCCGATCTCCCCACGTTAAAATTCTTGGAACTTATCTGTGCTCTTAACTGCTGTTAAGTCTTTGGTGGAATTAGGCTATTAAATGCATTTTTAGGTGTCGTTGCCAGGGTATAATTTATTTTTTTTTTAGTAGGCAAAATTCGACAAAATTTTTTAACTAGATCAAGAATTACTCAGCGAGCTTATGAAATTCAGTTAATAAGTTTCAACAAGCTGAGTTATAGCAGAATAAAGTCAAAATGTTGTCGAATTTTTGCGATTTTTTTGTAATATACATTTTGTAAACCTCTGTAGCTACGCATAAATTTTTGTTTTAATTTTTAAAATTTCGGTTTAGAATAATTCCGCTTTAGAATAATTAGGCGAAAGTTGGATTTTTGCAAATATCTTTATTTTGTGATTTCAAACAACATAACTAAGTGCCATCCACCTTACGAGAAAAATAAAATTTATATATTTTTAGCTTAGAAACTTGCGTAAAAATATTAAGTCACGTTTTTCGTAAGGCTAGCAATTGCCGCCCTTCCCAGCAAAATCCAGCTTTGCCTAAATTATTCCGAAAAATGAGTAATTTATTTGTCTTTATTCCCTGGACTGGTAGCATTTTTATGTTTTATATTCAAAATTCGATTTCTCAATTAATTTTTATATATTCTAGAAAAACTCAACATCCTCATGCGCACAAAAACTCGTCTCTATGAGAAAGGCGGTTACACCTTCTACAATGTTACAAAGATACGCATGGATCTAGCGCCGGGTGGTCTGAAAACGAATTTCGAAAATATTTTCAATGGCAACAGCAAAGAAGTGGAGCGTAGCACTAATTTGTTTTTCAATGAAAATTGGCGTGATTTCTTCGAAGCCCTACGACCGCTAGTAACAGAAACTGTGGAGACTACCCTATTGGATATATTACAAAAGGTGTTCCATTTGATACCGGCAAATTTCTTTGTTGAAGATATACCAACATCGGAACAATTGTACGCGAAAAAGAAAGAGAAGAAAGAATGAGTTGATATGTTTTAGTAAAAAATATAAATTAGAGAAAAAAATTGTTTTTATATCCTAGAGTTATTATTAAAGTGGCGTAATATTTTTGAGCGCTTCTGATATGAAATAAGTACTCTAGCGTAACTGATTTAATCATTTTACATTTACATATTAACCTTTTGGCGATCAAAAAAAAATATTGGAATCTTTTAGACCATTGCCGCCAAAGCTTAACTGGCGTAAAGAGCTCTCTAAATATTTCAACACGGGGTGATCTGCAAGATTCATGCAGTTATTCAGTTATTTTGGGAGCTTGTTTAATCATTTTGGACCTTCAGGTTCTAGTGCGCTGCCACCTTTTCTTTGCAAGTGGTCGTCTTTACTTCTAAATAGATCGATGAACTTTTTCGCCTGTTGAATTCGAGGCGGCTAGCTGGAGGCAAGGGGGGAATTGTTGAAATGTTCTACTGCAGGAGTAAGGTTTTCTTCAGATTTGGCACAAAAATTGCTATTGAGTACAAATAAAGCAGGAGAATGATCAGATGACAAGTCTAAACAAGATCTATATGTTTCTTCCGAAGGTACAATACCTTCGGCCACGCAGAAATCAATCAAAATTCCCTATTGTTTATATCTTTTGACCAGTATGGATGTAGGTTTTCCGTACGAGCTCCGAGATAACTTGAGTTTTCCGATAGCAGCGTAGAGTGGCCATTCTTTAGAAGTAATAAAGCGAGAGCCCCGGAATGCTTTTACTTCGAGTAAGTGTTTTGATAGCCCTTTGGCGTTCCAAATACAATTTTTTAAAGAATCGAGTATGTGCAGTGATTGGTCGTAAGCGTGATGAAGATATTCATCATAATTGTCATTTATTGAATGACTTACTTTAATAGTTCTAATAGTTCATTTCTTTCATTCCATTTGTATTTTGGGTTGTACTTAGTGTTTCAGAACTATCTGGAATATCACTCATATGGGGCATTTATGCACTGTTAGGACGTTTATGAGCTTGCGAATATGACAGCGGCACTAGCAGGTGGGATATCCGTCCTTCTCAATCGTAGGTATTTGAGTTTTTGAAACTTTTATTAGAAAAAGCAGACTATAATTTGCTGGGTGATTTCCATCACATCCTTAAAGCACAGTTCACATCGTCTGACTTGGTATTTCGCCTTAGCGAGGCTGTATTGTTAGCAAAGAAAGAATCTTTGAAAGTAAGAAGGCTTTATGTATATATCAGCTCAATGACGAAGTAGCGGCTTCAATATTATAAACAAATACAACCGAGTGACCAAGATTGTGTACGAAATCTTTTATATCTTGAGTATCCACAGACGGATGCATGTTTTTGAGCACCACTTCGAAGCATCTTTATCGCTCCGATCTATATACGGAAGGAACTGCGTTACACGGTAAACAAAACATTTCCAAAACTCAACGCGATTTTTTAGCAACTTTATTATACCAAAATGTAATTAAAAAATTTGCAATTTAGATGAAACTTTGCATAGTTTTTTAATTTTTACACAAAGATGGAAATTTGGATTTATATAGTTTTTTGTTAGAAAATGAAAATATGATAAAAATTAATAAGCCTTAAGCAAACAAAAGAAAAATTGTCAAAACTTATCAAACTGGGGCGACCCTATTAATTTGTCCGACACTGTAAACAATTATTATATTTTCTCTTGCGTAATATTTACATAAAAAAATAAAAATAAGTAAGAAACTATCCAAAAACTGAGGTCTACCACATTTGAGATCTATCACATTATTTTCAAGATTCTACCACCCCGAATTTTTTGTAAGTGGTGTAAATTTCCGATACTTTCAAGTATCGAATAAATGTATTCGATACTTTTACATTATTCCGTTAAAAATCCCATATACAAAACCTAATACTCATAATGACTTTTCTTTAGTAAAAAAGGTTTTCAATCGAAAACATTGCGTAGAAACTACTGAACTGCTGTTTAAGCTTATTGTTACCTTCAATACTTACCATAAATAATTTTTAACTATTTCGGCTATTGGGGATATATTTTTCGCATTCTTTCCACCACACGAGCTAATCTCGATGTCTCTGCAATAAGTCTTCTCGATATATTGATTACCCCCAACTATTTCAGACGCTAAAAAACTTGTATGAGCTTACTTAGATTTTTGATCAAAATCACTCTAAAGAGAATTGCCGTTTGTTTTATCCACGTTGTGTTTCGGTAAATTATCATTTTGAAACCTGGTTATACACTGCTCCTCAACCATTCTCCATTCAACCATTGTAAATTTTGCAACCCGTTACTTTGCTTTGTCGACGCTTGTTATGAAAATATCTTTAAACGATGATGATGGAGTATAGAAGTATGGACATAATTTGTTCAATACTCATCGAACTCTCAAATTGCTCAACAGTAATAAATAAATACTATTCGATACTCGATACTATTCACATCACTACCGACCACTGGTTTTGGTTTCTCGCTCGTGTTGTCAATACGATGCATGGTGTGATGTTCTTGTGGCGAAAAAGGACGCATTGACGAAAAATTACGCGTAAACCTAGTTGACAGCGAAGAAAGACGCGTAATCATAGATGTATACCTAGAAAAGGAATGTACATACTATTACACCCGCAAACATAGTTGACCGCGAAAATAAGTTAACGCATCTTTCTTCGCCGTCGACCAGGTTTGGGCGCCTTCGCTGAAGTTTTTTTTTGTGCCTTTTTTCGCGGTCAACTTTTGAGCTCGCGCCTTTATTCGTGTCTTGTAACGATATAGCATTCATAAAACGCTTAATTATGTAACAACGCAAACTTGAACGAAAAGTGCACGGTGTTGAGACCCCTTAATGTTTGATAGGTGGATTAATCGTGCAAACATGCCTCTATGGTTGGTGGCTAAGTATTATAACAGAGTTTTGTAAGGACTGGGAGTTGTCTATCTAACGTGGAGGTTGCACGAAATATATATTGCAGAAGCAGAGGTATGTGTTCACACTTTTAACAGCCTCCATGACTGGCCAGTATCATGTGCAAGAAGTGACGAAGGCAGCCTCTTTATACTAGATGATCCTTTGCTTCTAATCTTGCCTCGTGCTACGATTCGTTGTAGAATTAAAGCGAGTAAACTTTTCATAACTAAGTACTGCGGAAACGATTAATCGCAGCTTGGTAATTCCCACTTCTATTATGTAGTGAATTACTTTCTCTATACCCATTGCGGGCAACTTAGACGCATTGAAATCAAAATAACTTGCACACAGCACAATTTAACTGTCATGGTAATTTTTCACATGATAATTCCAGGTTTTTAATATATATATTTTTAAATAAAAAATTCATACTTAAATGTTTAGTTAACTGCTTGTGAACACAAATGTGAATACTTATGAGCATTTCAGTCGTATATGTATGTTTATTTAGAATTATAAAACTTTACATGCAACTACTTACATACATACATACATATATACAAAGTGGTTAAATGCACATTCTAAGCATACTAAAATTACAACAGCGCAATTAAGTACACAAATAATAAATTAAACATTTAATTAACTAAGAATCGATTACAAAAACAAATGGCCGCTTAATGTGGAACGAGTACGCTATCCAAATAATTTGCTTATGACCAATCAATTATACCAATCCCATTTCTTATAGTCCAATTCCTGCTTCAAAGCTTGTACATGCGTATGCCTCGTATTGCCATTACGCATAAAAACTCGACGATTACCCACCGGCTGCAACTGCCGATAATTATCCACCAACGCACCATCCTGTGTATCTTGCAGCTGGCGGAAGCGTGCAATCTGCGGATAGACGAATGACAATTACAAAATTAAATTAAAGCTACATAAAAATTTGGCGCCATTTAATTTCAGGTGAGTTATTTAAAGTAGGTTTTTATGGGCATACCTGTTTGGGTGAGATGGGTATGGGATCGGGATAGAGCACCCATGTGATGGCCTCCGAGCAGGGGGGCGTTGTGAGTGAACCTAAAAGAAGCAAGTAGACGCAAGCTTTTATGTGTATGTTAAGTAAGAATGTATAATAAATTTAGCTTATTAGCTAAAAGTAAATCAAGCTATTTAGTATGCATGAAGCAACAATCTCGCTGGCCAGGCAATAATCCAAGCAATTTGCCAGTAAGCACAGAAGGCAAGATAATAAAATCTGAAAATTATTCCATAATCATCTCGACATTTTTTTTTGGGTTTGTTTGCCACAATTTTGTTGGTCAATTAGTATTCAGCCCGTGCTATATTTGGCACTTGTACACCTGTTGGTTGTCAATCTATGTATTTACATATGTATGTACATAAATATGGATAGTTGCTCGCTTATTCGTACAAATAGCACATTCTTCCATTCTCCTATTGCCTGTTCAGATATTATCGTTACGATGTTGTTCGCATATTGATCTCCATTAAATTTCTACGATTTTACTAATTCCACGCTAATAATGACAATAATTGGAATTGTACAAAAAAGTACATGCGCACATAAGTACATACATACATACATACGTACGTATGTAGGTGCCAGGCGCGTGGTTTGGCAGCAATCGATATTGGCGTACAAATCAAAATTATTAACACTATGTAACAGCGCAAATAAACTTAGGTGCCCAGTGGGAAAAGTAGTAATGCATTCCATGCGTGATAAGTAATCGAATGTATGTAACGGGTGATTTTTTTGAGGTTAGGATTTTCATGCATTAGTATTTGACAGATCACGTGGGATTTCAGACATGGTGTCAAAGAGAAAGATGCTCAGTATGCTTTGAAATTTCATCATGAATAGACTTACTAACGAGCAACGCTTGCAAATCATTGAATTTTATTACCAAAATCAGTGTTCGGTTCGAAATGTGTTTCGCGCTTTACGTCCGATTTATGGTCTACATAATCGACCAAGTGAGCAAACAATTAATGCGATTGTGACCAAGTTTCGCACTCAGTTTACTTTATTGGACATTAAACCAACCACACGAATGCGTACAGTGCGTACAGAAGAGAATATTGCGTCTGTTTCTGAGAGTGTTGCTGAAGACCGTGAAATGTCGATTCGTCGCCGTTCGCAGCAATTGGGTTTGTGTTATTCGACCACATGGAAGATTTTACGCAAAGATCTTGGTGTAAAACCGTATAAAATACAGCTCGTGCAAGAACTGAAGCCGAACGATCTGCCACAACGTCGAATTTTCAGTGAATGGGCCCTAGAAAAGTTGGCAGAAAATCCGCTTTTTTATCGACAAATTTTGTTCAGCGATGAGGCTCATTTCTGGTTGAATGGCTTCGTAAATAAGCAAAATTGCCGCATTTGGAGTGAAGAGCAACCAGAAGCCGTTCAAGAACTGCCCATGCATCCCGAAAAATGCACTGTTTGGTGTGGTTTGTACGCTGGTGGAATCATTGGACCGTATTTTTTCAAAGATGCTGTTGGACGCAACGTTACGGTGAATGGCGATCGCTATCGTTCGATGCTAACAAACTTTTTGTTGCCAAAAATGGAAGAACTGAACTTGGTTGACATGTGGTTTCAACAAGATGGCGCTACATGCCACACAGCTCGCGATTCTATGGCCATTTTGAGGGAAAACTTCGGAGAACAATTCATCTCAAGAAATGGACCGGTAAGTTGGCCACCAAGATCATGCGATTTGACGCCTTTAGACTATTTTTTGTGGGGCTACGTCAAGTCTAAAGTCTACAGAAATAAGCCAGCAACTATTCCAGCTTTGGAAGACAACATTTCCGAAGAAATTCGGGCTATTCCGGCCGAAATGCTCGAAAAAGTTGCCCAAAATTGGACTTTCCGAATGGACCACCTAAGACGCAGCCGCGGTCAACATTTAAATGAAATTATCTTCAAAAAGTAAATGTCATGGACCAATCTAACGTTTCAAATAAAGAACCGATGAGATTTTGCAAATTTTATGCGTTTTTTTTAAAAAAAAAGTTATCAAGCTCTTAAAAAATCACCCGTTATATCTTATGAGTTTTATATCCAATTACTGTTTAGTATGTAATCACCATTCTAATGTATTCAAAAAGTTACAAAAATTTCATATTAAATCACATTCATTTCTCGATACTAGGTAATGCAAAATTGAATGCCCCACTTTTCTTAGGACATCGCCCTGGTGAAAAAAATGAATTTTCGAATGTGAAAAGGGTTGTTTTACTGATTATTTTTTCGATTACTATACATTACATTTTCCCACTGGGTGTGATCTAAAGGGTCATATTTAGGTCTGATCGAGTAATTCACGAAATTATCTTAGAAATTTTTCCAGTTCTCTGAATTTATCAACTTTTCTATGCATTCAAGAATCGAATTCTAATGCAGTTCTCTTACATCAACTCGACTCGAAAATGATTAGATTAGGACAGAAAGGAGTCAGTTTCACTGCAACGAAAAGATCTCCACGCTATAGTGCTTATCACAATTATACGCCACCCACGTATTGATTATTACTTTTTGTTTAAGCAACCATAAGTTAAAAGAGCCGCTCAGTTTTTCCATATAACAAAGTCAAAGTCGAAAATACACTTCCAACAAAAAAATTTCCAAAAATCAACGTTAAATTTCAGCTACTTCGGGCCGGTCTTTTATATAATAAAATTGAATGGGTTACAAAACCTGCATATCCCAAATCTTTCAATGAAATCTAATTAAAGAGCTCGAAATTTTTATGAACGTTTGTTGACTTTTTTTTAATATTCCACCAAATTTGAAATTTGGATTCATACGGATTTTGTTAAAGAATCCTACTAATATTGTAATGTGAACGCTTGTGAGTGATTGAAGGAGGGAGTGAGTGTGTTTGTTGCTTTTAACGCTGAGGCGGCTACATATATTCCAGTGAAATTTGACGCACAGGTTGGCAATGACGTGAATTAACATATGAAGAGAATTGCCACCTTTAAAAAAATTTAAATCAATTAATTAATAGGTAGAATAAAATATTAGGTAATAAGATATTTCTGTCAGAAAAAAAGGTTTCTAAAACGATTTATTTCGAAGTAATTTGCAAAAGGTGCAATCAATTAAATTAACAAAATCAAATATTTTTATTTGAGCATCAATCGAGAGAGGTTTAAGAAAGTTTTATTTCCAAAATGGTTCTTAGGAGAGTTGTCAACTGCCTTGGAGTACTGAATCTATTTTATTAGCAAGTTGAAATCAAAATTTTAAATGGGAATAAAATAAACGAGAGGTTTAAGAAAGCTTCAACTGGAAAGAGGGTTGCCACCTGTTTGGAAATTTAAAACCATTTTAATGAAAAAGTTAAATGGGTGTTAAAAGAGAGAGGTTTAAGTAAGCTTTATTTCTAAAATACTTTTGGAAAGGGTTTGGAAAGTCAAAATCAACCTCACAACTAGTATGAACTGCATGCACAACTACTCAGCCAACTATCTTTTTTCCATGCAATCAACTGGTATTTTTAACATGGGGATGTCCTACGAAATGGAAATTGTCAGATTTCGGTCAGAAATATATCAGTCTAATACTAGTTCAATATAGACAGAAAAAGACTAGTCCAATTATGGACAAAAACTACTACTTTGGGAGTCAAAAAATAAAATGAATTCATGAATGTACAATAAAATTTTTTTGATTAAGTACACTTTAATATATCACACATTTGTATTTAGCAGCCTAATGAGTGTTAAATTTTTTGAGCATTAATTCAAAGCCAAAATAAATACATAAATATTTCAAATTTTCGAACAGTAATTTAAATGCATTTTTTCATTAAATGTTATCAAAAGTAAAAGGTTTCAGGTACAATAAATAGTTCGTTTTTGAGTGAACTAAAATAAAAATAAAAGTTTTCATTAAAAGAAATTAAATTCATTAACTTTGCACATTTCAGTCGATTCTTTTTAAGAATTTATAAAAGTAATAATTAAAGTTTAAAATTTGAGATTTGGATAAGAATAAAATAGATAAATAGTTCAAGCAGTTATTAAATATTCTTAATTTTTGTCTATAGTTTGGCTTGTTGATTGATAATAGAAATTAATCAAATAATTATATTAATCGTGTAATTAAAAAAAGTCAAAAATAATTGAAAATGATCAAAAATAAAAAAATAGTGATTAAAATTAATAAGTTAATTAAATTTTTTTAAGTAATTAATTATTAATCATTTTGTGTACATTATTGTATTAAACTGTCGAAGTCAAGCAAAACAGGGCATACATAAATCGTTTTGTACTTGGTCTGGTCATTTTCAAACTAGTTCGGTTTCTGTCCGGCAATTCAAGTTGTAAACTAGTATTTTTCCTAACTAGTTTGGGGTTTCACTGCAGGGATCATGTAATTCATGCATATGCATTTGTATTTGATTCTTTATGCACTGCTTACACCGACTTTTGTTGTAATTGCATACAAATTTGTTCTTTTGTGGATATAAATATGTATTGATATGTATTTTATGTACATATGTGTGTATGTGTGCAAGTTGATTGTAAAAATTCTTTATTGATAAAATATTATAATCCGATTAAGTCGCTCTGCTTGAAAGCTCATACCCAGCAGCGAATGGAATGCATTCCGCATCGATGCCCCACTGATGACAAGTAATGGCATTTGCTTCCGCTCTTGACTCTTTTTTTGATTGAAGTATGATTTATATTTAACATTGCGTGACATTGGCGGTAAGACGCGAGCGCTTCTGTTGCATTACTTTTCATCAACGCAGAAATGTCGCTCATTCTCCATTACCTCAAATTCGATTGCATGAGATGAGATAGAAAAATAATCCAGTGCGGAATCAAATGTTATTACTTGTCATTAGTGAGGCATCGATGCGGAATGCATTCCATTCGCTGCTGGGTATTTATAAAAAAGTCAACTAGATACACCTCACATCTTCGCTATCTATTACTTAAGTATTACCTCATTTGACCTTAGTCTAATGTACTTATTTATAGTTAAGAATAGGCGTTAGCACAATAACAAGTCGAAAATTTTATTAATACCTATATATTTGCACTCAGTAAGAGGTATGGTTAATTTAATGAAAGCAATATGCATGCATACGTCATTGTGAGTACGTCTACTGCAAATTTATCATTGACAGATAGCCAATATTAAATGAAAATATTGGCATTTTAATAACTGAATTAATACGTATGTAAACGTAAGGTCAGCATTTTAATGGTCTCACTCCCTACGATTGTTCTACAACGAAAAAAATTGCCCATCTTTTTTTTATTTCGCAATCAAAAAATAATTAGAGGTTGCCCGAAGTGCTGAAAGTTTTTCACGGATTTGCAGTGTGAAAAGTATATGTATACTTATACAAAACTTGTCAATAAAATATGTACGCTGGTGGCCCGATAATAAGAAAAGATTTTCTTTTTCAAGTTTTGACCATCTATTTGTATTTGTTATTTTTAGCATATTTTTTTTTTTTTTTTGGAAAATATAGTGCATGCCTCATCGAAAATCAAATAACTCAAAGCTTTAAACTTCGTATAAGATTTATAATAATTCGACGAAGTTCGAAAAATGGACATCAAAATTTCAAACTTTTTAATTGGAATTTCTAGAAATAATAATAATAGTCCATTTAGTATAATACAGTGAAAGTTTGAATTTGCTCAAAAATCTTGTGAACATACATCTATAAATATCTCAATGGTATTAAACTCTCTAATTTGATCGCTGTCAGTCCAGCCCTAGAAGTATTAGAATATAGTTGCTGGATTTGGCATTGCAAGACATTAACGCTTCCCACAGAGATGTGAATTTCCCCTTATCCTCTTAATCGCCGTGGGAAAAATAATAGGGGTATTCTCTGAGTCTTGCAAAGCCCTTGCAAGGTGCACGGATTGCACCGTTTGCAAAGCTGTCCCATACGAAAACCGGGTTTTACCGTGCAATCCGTGCAATCTGTGCACCGTGCAAGGGCTTTGCAAGACTCAGAGAATACCCCTAATGTATTCTCGAATGTAAAAACGGCTGTTTTACTGATTATTTTCTCGATCACCATACCTTACATTTTCCCACTGGGGTTTTTTGATTCAAGTGGCTGATTCCATCCGATTTCGAAACGTAAGTATGTATATTAAAAATTACACTGCCACTTTCATTATTATAATTTTTTCTTAACCTATTTTATTATTGAATATAAGAAGATATACATATTTATGTATATTATGTATGCTAGTACTTACCTTTGTAAGTATAGAATTTATCCACATCCACATTAGCAATCAAGGATGCGAGAGAAAAAGTAACTGTTAAATTGACAGCATCATTCGCTTCCGGTATCAAATGCAAATGACGACATATTGTTGTTAATCCTGCACCTTCATCCTCATCTAACTGTAGGTAAAACATAAAAAACAAAACAGATGTCAACAAAGCACTCTAACAGCAAATAAATTTAGAAAGCAAAAAGCAAACAGCATAATGAAATGCGAATTGCACCCCCCAACAATCAGTCAGATTTGATTCTATGTACTTCTTCACAATAACCACTCAATACGCGCGCTACTAGTGCATTCATTCAACTCACATTGAAAAAGAATCCCAGCACAGCAGCACCATCGGCAAATTCCAGCGCATCACCAAGTGTTGGATATTTCTTATTGCGATGCACAATATGCATTTCCATTGTATAACGGATGTCGTTGATCACATGCTCAGCGCCACGATTGTTCTTATCGCCCCAATGGAAGTGTACACTCTCGACTTCGAAATCGCCAGGTAGCTTAGCGCCACGCACGTATGGCATAAAATCGCCATTTGACTTCGCCTCCTCACTGAGCTTGGGTATATTGATAGCGACTGTGGATTAGAATGAAACATACATATGTAAATTAGGGTGGTCCAAAGCCAGTAAAGTCGAAATTGTAATGCTCTTACCCCCTACGATTGTTCTATATCGAAAAACGTAGACCCCTATTTTTTTTGAAATCAAAAAATATTTAGAGGTCGCTCAAAGCGCTCAAAGTTTTCCATGTATTTTTATATGGGAAAAAACAACTTTTCGCAGAAATGGTACAGAATTCTTGAAAATCGATATTTTTCGATCGGAAAACTCTGGTTCTCTTCAGGAGACTCTCAATAATAATATCCAATTGTTTATTTAACCATTTTTTAATACTAACGATTTTTTATTGGTCTCATCGCATTTTTCGAGGTTTTTGTGGATTTTTGGAGGATCTATAAATTATAGTTGCGATGAAAAAATGGTTAAATAACAATTGGTTAATACTATTGGGAACCTCCTGCAGATCAATAGGGTTTTCCGATAGAAAAATAATGATTTTTAAGAATTCTATACCATTTCAACGAAAGGTTTTTTCCCCATATAAAATACTTGGAAAACTTTGTGCGCTTTGAGCGACCTCTAAATATTTTTTGGTTTCAAAAAAAAAAAAAAATATGGGAATATTTTTTTCGGCATAGAACAATCCTAGGGAGTGAGAGGATAAAAATTCCGACTTTACTATTTCACATGCATTTTTGGACCACCCTAATGTACATGCATACATGGTAGTGCACAGTATTAGCATTCAAAGCGGAAATTTACAAAAAAAAGAAAAAATATTGAAAATTGAGTTGTCTTGAATGGAGACTGTTTGTGTTTCATTGTGAATTCTAAGCTACAAACGAAATGAATTTTTATTATAAAACTTCATTTTTTGCAGAAAAATTCATCTTCAGTTTCTTTCTGCATATGCATGATTGAAGAGTACACCTATTCGTATGTAGTATATGGGCAAATCTCCGGAATCGTGTGCTTTTTTGTCACCCACCTTTAAATAAATTTTACAATGTAAATTTACTTTTTGTAAAAAACTTGGGCCATTTTGATAACAAATTTTAGGAATTCTTGTAACTTGTTTAATTTTACCCCCCTTTTAATAGTGTTATTTTAACTTTTTCAACGTAAAGCAGAGGCATTCAAAAGTCATGGCTAGGGCCGGGATTTTTATGCACTAATAAAGCAAAGCTATAAGATAACATAAGAACAAACAATACATGCAGACAAATTTCTCGCATTTGTTTCGCTTTTTATTTATTTTTATTTACTTTTCCTATTTTATTACAAGTTTATAATTAACATAAGGATATATTTTAATTTTCAGTGCCACGAAACACTCATAATTAATGAAATATATATCAAAAATTTTAAAACATGTATTAAAAAAATTAAGCACTTAGGGCCGTTTTCACCATCTCTGGTTAACACTGATCCCCAGTTAAACATCGTTACCGACGTTACTGACTCCATGCATATAAAGACAACGTCGGTAATGATTGCCCTGATTGCCCTTAAAGTAGAAATAAAAAATTTATTTACAATAAATAAAAAATACGTATTTATTTCCCATATTTTTTTTTTAATTTGCTTTGTTCAGGGCTTTATTGGCAAACAAGATAAACAGTTCTTCAAAATTTTCCAAGATTAAGCTTTCCCTATTTGGCCGCAAAAATGTTTTGTATAAGAAGGAACGTTCTTTCTGCATCAACACTGGTGATTGGGGCGTTCTTGAAGTAAGCTAGTTCATTGGGACTATAGCTGTTAAGCGGGGAACACACGATTTGTACGTTTGTACAGATTTGTAGATTTAGGCAGTCACAAGTGGCGTTGTTTAAAATTTGAGTTCAGCTCAGCTTAATAAAAGAATTACCAGGCAACACCACTCTGTAACTGCCAAAATATACATACATATCTGTACAAATATACAAGTCGTGTGATCCCTGCTTAACAGCTGTCACTGTTAGTGTTCGGCCGAGCTTCTGCTCAGATTTGTGGCGTGCGCCTTGATGTTGTCACACAAAGAGAGAGGGAGTAACTTCAGCGCCTTTGCTGATTATACCGTATCGAGCCCTAACCACCAAAAAAAACGCAAGCGACATATTTTTCAAAAATTTTGTATCAAAAGAAAATTACAAAAAAAAAAAATGTCGTTTACGTTTTTTTGGTGGTTAGGGCTCGATTTTCGACGAAATCAGTACCCAATAGTTACATGGAATCATCAATTGCTCTTGCAATTGTGGACAATTGTTCTAGACAAACGGCGTTTAATAAAAAACGCAATTAAATTTGCCTTTTTGACAAAATATGCTGTATATGCATTTAGGGCAAATCGATGCCATTTTAACACAAAAATATTGATTCGCAACATTTGTTAAATTTTAAGTTCCTCCACTCGTATTTATAAAAACGATAATATTTTAAGTTTTTTTTCCATTTTGCACTTTTAGGAATTACTTAGTTTTTCGTATTTTTTTATATACATATTACTTACATATGAAAGAATAAAATAAGATCTTTAACAGGTAATATCGTCACCTGAAATACAAAAAGACGTGTAAATGAAATGGAAAAAGTCGTGACTAAATGTTTATTATATTTTTCATAAAATTATGTGCGGAGTTGTAGTTCGACGAAATCCATCATAGAACGCAAAAAGTGAATTTTGAATTTTTTATTAGTTATGACACTTTGCATTTCAACGATATTGTTTATTACGTCTTTTTGCATTTCAGGTGACGACATGTGCCTTTAAAAATATAGAAAATATAACAAATATTGTCTGGATATATCTTTGCGAGTATGGCTTTAAAATTCCCTTCTTTTTTTTGATGGCACACTGGCAAACTAAAACATAACAGGTTGGAATTTGTGTGATTGGTAGATAACAATATCTTAATAAAGTTGCTTGAAAATGCAAAATACATAAAACAAATTTTGTCTAAAATACGGCCATGAATTTACATGTGTATATGTACAGAACGTTCAGACCTTTGGGTAGTGCGATTAAAGAATCTTTACACATTTACGCAAAAATGATATTTCCATCGATGCACGGCGAAAATCAGTTTTTCAAAAATCAAAATCCATATCTATCAAAAACAAACCTTCAACCAGATATTTTTTGGTCCAAAAGAAAAGTCTTTTCCTAATAATAAACAAACCGCTTACCCAAATTAAACAAGTTTGGTATCAAATGAAAGAAAACAGCTTTAAAAATTAAATGTTTAAACGAGAAAAGCCAGCTGTTGAAAAATATTTCAATAAAAAATGTTATTAAAATACCATAGAACAAATTTTAGGTCAGGCATATGAATTTCCTTTGTATTAAAATATAAAAAAGAAATATATAATATAGAAGAACCTTCGTTCGTTACTTTTATGTAACATCTATTTAAGTCCTCTTTCATTTGATACCAAATTTGTTTAATTTGGATATGCGGTTTGTTTCCCTGTACTAGTTGTAAACTATCTCACAACTAGTATGAACCGCATGCCCAACTAGTCAGCTAACTATTTTTTTCCATGCAATCAACTTGTAGTTTTAACATGGGGATGTCGTACGAGATGGCAATTGTCAGATTACGGTCAGAAATATACCAGTCTCATACTAATTAAACTGGCGATTAGTAGACAGAAAAATACTAGTCCAATTATGAACCAAAACCACTAATTTGGGAGTAAAAAAATAAAATGAATTCAAGAATATACAATAAAAATGAATGGATAAATTTAAAATATTTATTAAAAAACTATTAAAATCAGGCAGTGGGATTGTACCTTTTTTGTAGAGCGTTTAATTTCCTAGAGAAATAATTGAAGCTCATTTGACAATAATTATTTTTTAGTAAGTTACAAATTTCAAAACAAAAAGTTATTTTCCTTAAAATACTTCAATCTTTGACCCTGAATATCTTTTAAATGTTTAGATTAATAAAAAGAGTATACGAGACCGTTTTTGTAGAGCATTCAATTTCCTATAAATATTGACGATGCAACTGGTTTAACGATCTATTGGTGATATGATATGACCATTTTTATACGAGACTAAAGTGAAAATGGAAAACTATGATGAGGATAATCTTCCCGTTAGTATTAAGAACTCAGATTTGATAAGTACTTACTAGAGGTACCTAGGAACTAGTTTTCGTGTGTCGGATACAAAAAAAAAATATTTGATTTTCTTTTACCCACCCTAATGCATACGTATGTATATATACATACATATAGTATATGTTACATTTGCCCATTGAAATTTACTCGGTCGAAAGTGTTCTAATATTTTTAAAACCAAAATTTACAATGAATCTGTATGAATTTTCATTTCTACTCACCCGTATGTCCATTGTTGACCATAACAAGAGGATTCGGCAACAAATTGTGATAGCCAATCATATCGATGGCTGGCATATTCAATGGAATAGCCTAGAAACAAATTTGGTCTAGTTAAAAATTTGTTAGCTTATGAATTGTACCAAATCATGACAAAGATATTTATGCATTTTATGTACATACAATAAATAATGCATAGAAATAAAACTATGTACATACATTTTCACCGCAATTTTTATAAATAAACAACTTTATTGTTGTATGTGCACACATTAATTAGGTGTACGTTTTCATGCATCCTTAAGGGAAAAATTGTTATATAATTGAATTTATTTATATTTAATGTGTTACTATTTAAATAGTAGTAGTATTTGTTTATATGTATGTACCAGAGTTTTGAAAAATTCATTAAATTTTTAATGCATAGCAGTTTAATGTTAATGAAAAATGCATTGCATTAATTCCGAAGAAATAATGCTAATGATTTATTTTTTGCATTAACATTAAACTTTGTTAATGAATGCTATTGCAATAATTGATTGCATTAAACGCATAACAAACATTAAAACTAACTCTAAATTCTTGACTTTGAGGGTAGAATTTTGAGGCCAAAAAAGATGGGGGGCGGAAATTAAGGCTGACAGGGGCTAACATACTTCAGATTCGCATTTAGCGCGTCGTATAACATAGGGATATGGAGGTTTTTGTAAACTTGTGTTATTATTATTCGAAGTCCTTCCAAAAGAGGTTATTTATATTTCACAAGAAATAATTTTTGTGGTTCAGTAATGCAAACCAGCAAAATTATTAGTTTGGATGATTTAATGCAAACAAATTTAATTAGCATTGTATTTTTCAGAATTAATTCATCGAAGTTTTTATGTGCATTGAATTACCAAAAAATTATTGCATTCGTTTTTCACATTAACAATATTGCTTTAAGTACATTAAGCATTAAAAAATTAATTCATTTTTCACAACTCAAGTGAATACCCTGCAGGGAAAAGCCAAACTACTCAATACTTCATATGTTACGCATATGTATATATAAACGACGCGAATATTTAACTTCATGGTCCACGGTGGAGAGAATTCAGAAGGTGGCGCCGATGGCAACACCGCTAATCGGCTCTCAGTGAATTTGACAGAATCAGCTGTTTTGCTAACGTCACAGTCGAGATGACAGCAGTAGTGATGTGCTGAGTCAATAACACAGGTCCACAAAAAAAAAATCGATGAAAGGTTCCTTTGACCAAACCTAGTCTGTTATATGTTTTTGGGGTCGCTAAACACGAATCTGAAGTCCGTTTTGCCCCATCACGTCTGGATTTTTTTTCTAACCTCAAAAAACATCTCGGATTTTACGTGACAGAGAAAACCTGAGGTGTTTTTTGAAGTTAGGTCTAGACGCGATGGAGCAAAACGGACTTCAGATTCGTGTTCAGCGAGCCCCAAAAAATATGATAGACTAGGTTTGGTCAAAGGAACTCTTCATCGATTTTTTTTTTGTGGACCTGTGTTATCAATTATACAATTTATGCCTCTAAAATTCTGTTTCATTTTGTTTTATTCCACTGCATGCATTCTTACTCATATGACGAATACAAATTTACAATATTTGAACCAAAATCTAAATTTTGCAAAGCTTTCATGTAAAAACAATTATCATCAATAGGATTACACTTATTTACTTTAGACGAATGTACAGCGATTGGTGACTGCGTCTTGCCAGCACAGTGGCCATGGTGCCGTGCCCAACGACGTTGATTCGGTTCCGAGTAGCCAAAGCGAGAGCCGGCAGTTACTGAAAAGTATAACAAAAGCAAATAACAAATTAAATATTATTTTAATATGTACATACATATTTTTGAAGAAAATAGTATAAACATGAGCAATAGATTTAGAACATTTGGCCTTCCAGGCAGCAGTACAAAACAGACCAACAGGCAAAAGTAATTGAAGTAATCCAATCCAAGCTGATGTGTTCATTTGAAATTTTTTACTAAATATTGATTTCGAAAGAAGAAAAGTTTTAATGAACAAACCACACTGTGAATCAAACAATATTTTGGTATTTGATCCAAGGCGATTTGTATTTTGTTTTTAGCGGGTTTTTATCTTAGCTTTTCTTCCTCGAATGAAAAAGGGTGACAGAAAATATAAACACTATCCTTGCTTCACAAAAATTACAAAATTTTTACCATCAAACGCAATACACAGCTGATGAAACAACACCACCTTATATAAATATATAAATTCGCCTTGATTTGATCTGAATATTTATTTACATAACATATTCATGTATGTACATATGTACATATCTACAGGAACATTACTGACTTATCGACGATGAGGAGGGAATGTTTATGGGTAGTGTAATGAAAGAGGTTTTTCGCTAATGTCATTTTTTCTTTTTTGGTTGTGTTAACAGAAAGGCAGAGATAAGCAATAAAATAAAAGTTACAAAGAAGCAACAATTATAAAATTATAATTTATATAATAAGGCAGTTCACTGCCGATTTTCACTCAAACGCACACAGTTTCGCATCAAAGAGTGAACTCTAGTCATGTGTTGCTATTTAATCAGCTGTGAGCAGCGTTTGATTTTCAAAATTTTGTATTTCACTAGTGAGGGAGAGAAATCGTGAGAGTGTTTGTATTTTCTGTCTCCCTTTTTCATTCGGGGAAGAAAAGGTGAAATTTGACCTTATATGAATTCGCTTGGATGTTAATATTGAATGTCAAACCCTAATGTCGAATTTCCAATAGGCATTGAATTAACAAAAATAAAGACGGCAGATTCTAGATAAAAGGGGAGCTCGAGGGTCGGTTTAACAGGAACTTCTGATTTGCAAAATAAGATCCCTTTTTTCTAGCAACCCTATAGTCTTTATATAATTCTTTGCTAAAATTTTTATACACAAAGAAATAATAAGATAGCAAAATAACATCAAACTTGGTGTTTTTAGTCTGATGAAAATTGTAAATAATAATCGCATGTCTTTTCATTTCGAATTCTCACTATAAAAATATTGTTTTATATTTTGTTTATTCAAAATTTTAACTATACATTTATTCAAATATTGTTTTATATAAAAAGATCTCCACATATATTAAAATATAGCTGTGTACTTTTTTTTTACATAAGTTCGCAATATATCGCCCAAATTTTCTATTCTAAATTTTTAACTCTTAATAAAATATTTTTTTATATTCTTTATTCATAATTTTCACTATACATATATTAAAATATTGTTTTATACCAACGTTGGGCAAACGCGGCTCTTTGAGCTTTGCTTTTTCTTCGCTTAGAACATTTTGGCTCTTTTTACTTTTTAAAATACATATTTCTTTGCAGACATTCTTTTCCATTGTGTTGTTTGTTTTATTTTTTATTTATTTTATTCTTTTTATATACACATACGCGAGTTGAGTTCGAAACATTACCCGCAATTGGCTTTCTGACTTGATGTTTTTTACCGATATGATGGAACATTTGCAAAACTTGAATTTGTCTCTACAAGGAGAGAACAAAAATGTTTTTAATTTGTCGCAAATTATTTTAAGTTTTGAAGCTAAACTACGTATTTTATTCATGATCTCAACCAAAAAATTTTCATCCTTTTCCATGGCTAGAAAAAATATTTGCACATGATTTAAAAGCAGATTTTGAAAAAAGATTTGCCGATTTGAAATTATTTATGTAAATGTACATAAACCATAAAAATAAACCCACTTTTTATGTAACATAATTGAGGATGAATTTACAATATCCGAAATACTCCTTTTTAAGAAAAGCGAAAAAGAGTTTGAGTTTGTGGAATTAAAAGAAGATAAGGCACTGGAAATGCACCATAATTAAAAGTTACGAAAACTATCAGCTTTTTGTGTTTGCGTACACAAAAAAACTTGCAAAGTAAGGCAAATTGAGAAACGAACTAACCAACATTTAACAGAACGCGTTACGAACGGTTTTAACTGGCGTAAAATCAAATTTTTAAAATTTGACCAAAGGGATCTTTTGAAGTTTCTTTAATATCTATCTTACGTAAATTAGAATATTAATAAAATTAATCATTTCAATTAATAATATTATTTAAAAATAAAATTTTTTTGTTTTGTTTTTTTTTTCTTGGCTTTTATAATTTACATGTGGGTATTTTCGGCATCGGCCTTGCCCACCTCTGCGTTATACTATTTAAGTACTTACAACATACATAGGTAGATACATATATGTTTTGTCCATAAAGCGGCAACAAGAAAGAAAAACTAACTAAAAAAAAACTAATTCTCACGCTTAACTTGCCGTTTTGCTCTTTAAGCAAATATCGGCACCTTTTTTTCAGAAGCTAATAACTCAAACTTTTAAGCTACCAATTACATGCATTACATGTAATTCCTTGTCACCAAGGATATTCATTTAAGCCAATTACACACCAATATTGTTCAAAGTCACACATTAGAGTTGTACAACAAATACTCTATGTCATCAATGAATTAAACAAAATATTGATTATATATCATCGATCACTGTGTAGTATTAATATAAATATAATGTCTGTATACACATGTTTATGTACATATATGAGGGTGGTAAAAAAAATAAAATTGATTATTTAACAATTTTTTATTATTGCCAATTTTTTATAGGTCCCTTAAAAACCCCAAAAAAAAATTTAATGAGGCACCTTTAAAAAATCACTAGTATTAAAAAATGGTAAAACAAACGATTGGGTATTATTGTTGGAAGTCTTCCGTGGAGAAGCGGTGTTTTCCGATTAAAAAATATTGACTTTCAAGAATTCTATGCCGTTTCTACGAAAATTTGTGTTTTCCCATACATAATACATGGAAAACTTTGAGCACTTTGGCCTACCTCTGAATGTTTTTTGATTTCAAATTAAAAACATAGCGGTGTGTTTTTTCGGTATAGAACAATCCTAGGGGGTGAGAGCATTAAAATTCCGACTTTACCTTTTCACATGCACTTTTGGACCACCCTGATGTACATACATATATTTACTATACAACGTATTTTCCGAGTACAAATAGTATCACGTGTACTAACTAAACATTTTTTTTTTTTTTTTTACTTTAATACTTTTCTATTATGCCATACTCGAACACATTGTTGCTGCTCCTCTGACAGCCATGTGTGTATATCAGTAAATTCGTTATCAGTTGTCATTACTTTGAAAGTCACACAAACGACAATAGATATCAAGTCTTATTTGTTTACGCAACTGATGTTTGTATAACGGCTTGCCTTATTTTTTACTCAATGTTTTGATAATTTGCAAATTTTGTTTGTTTTTTTTTTTTTTTTGCAGTTGACGGTTTTTATTTATTGGCAGTAAGCGAAATTATGTGGGCGATTAAATCGTCAAAGACGTTTAGGATTCTTTTATTTTTTCAATTACTTTAAAATGGGTACACTAATATTCGTACATATACATAAACACAAACCTAAATAAGCTTATATAAATAATACATACATATGTATGTACCTATTTATGGACTTTTTCTTTATGTTTCATAAAATTTCTCGTGATTTGACTTAAAGAGCCACCACTTGGTGGCTATTTGTTGCGTCACAGTGGTCTGTAGCAACAACAACAACCATAACAAAGTTTATGATGACACACATCCATAGTTTGCTAGCAATTTGTTATGCCGTAACACCTAAAAACAACAACAGCAAAAATACTTCTAATCTTAACCGACTTTCAACCTTTTTCGCCTTTTTCTTTCCTTGCCTTTGCGTGATTTTATATTCTTGAACGCCAGCTACCCACGTTCTGTCTCTTTGGGTATTGTGGCCATTAATATTGAATATACATATGTTTGTTGTTGTTTGTCGCTCTTTTCTCCTTGGCTGGCTGGCATACTCGTATGCTTACTTGAATGGTTATACAACAGCTGGGGATATAGCTCAGTGGTAGAGCATTCGACTGCAGATCGAGAGGTCCCCGGTTCAAACCCGGGTGTCCCCTTCTAAATATTTTTGTTGGGGGGAAGTTTTTAAAACGTGTATTTAAATAAACATACTCAGGTGCATACATACATACACACCTCCACAAGTAAAAAAAAGTTTAAATATTACGCGTTTTCCGGAGGAGTTTTACATTCAGCAAAACAAAAAACTTAAGAACTAAAATGCTTTAAGAAACAAATTAAGCTTTTCTGCAAATGAATTCGTTAATAAAATTTATAATTAAATTAATATTTGTAAGTAACAAATAAAATAATAGATTAGTAAAGCGAATAGAGCTATGATAAAACTAATAAAAAAAGTCTCTCTTCTGCGTACGATTGACTCCCCACCACACGTCACACGCCACACAAAAAAACGGTCGGAGTTCGGGAATCAGTATATCTTATCCTTATGAAGGATATTACGTGACAGGCACGATGGGTTACAAAAAGTTCTGATATGATAGAGTAAAAAGCAAAGATTCGTGATCAGCTACATATGTATTCATTACCTTGATTTTTTTCTAGTTTCTAGTAGTTTGGAATTTTTCTCATATCATTACATTGAATCGTTGTTTTATCACGAACAAAAATGCTTTTTAAGGCTTTTGCTGTCTGATCGGCCAGGTAGAGCTTTTGCTGGGCAATTCCGGCTAAGATAGTAGATCTTTTGTAAGACAATTGAAAAACAGTAGGCAAGATCATTTGAAAGATTTTATTTATTCTGGCTCGAAAACTCTCCCTTACCAACTTTCATGGTGAAAAGCCCCTTGACAGAAAGCACTTGTTTAACAATTTGCTCGCGCTGCTCCGACAGTCGCAATGGCCGAG